GGATGATTCTTTAACATAATACCATCCACTGCTTCTTGTAGGATGATTGAAGGCACCACTTTTCAGCTGATTAAATCCCTGTTGCCATCATATTGTAGCAGAAATAAATGTTCCATCTGTAGTCCCAACTTCAATGTGTTATGTACGTCTAAAATCCTGCGCAATAACTCCAAAAACTATTTTCTTAATGTATAAAAGTAAACAGTCAAATTGGACTAATTATTCCAGTAAGCAAAAAAACCCACATAACAATAAAAATAATGGAAAGACACAGCTTACTGCAGTTACGTGCACTCAAATCATTATCTTGAATTAATGCTCATAATGCAAGGATTTCATTAAGTTTCTTTGCATATTAAATCAACTAGTCAATTATGGATTCAAAGAAAAAAATTCAACACTGCATGAAGTTCCCTGAACTGCCAACCATGACACAGCTGCTCTTAAACACCACGCTGAAGACACAGCCACAGTAACAGATGAGCAGGAACCCACACTGACATCGAGCCACAATGCCTGCTAACAACTGAATTCTGTTAAATTAAGCAGACATCATCTGGAAGCTCTCTCTCTTCCCACTCCATTAGAAAAACATGGCGTCGAGGTGGTTAAGGGAAAGGCCTTGTACTTGTGGCTGCCCTCACATAAACGTCTTTGTTTTCTTTACATCTGTTCCACCAGGCAGTCTGGGTTTTAAGAGTGTGACCTCTTTAATGTCTAGGCCACTGTTGCCCCCAACCCAGTCTTTTACTACATTTAACATTTTAATACTCCCTTTTCTTCTTGCAAGTCAGTCTTTGATGTTTTTGAAGAGTCGGTGTAAATGTCGTGTATTTCAGTAAGAGTTTGCTCTGAGTGCAATTGGGCCCTAATAAAATGAAGGTTAAAATTTAGTAATTTACCTGTCATGCAGCTTTTGGAAATTTAATGTTTAATTCATCCTAATCCACTGGCAGTCATATCAGAAGATTACAGGTTTGATCTTTTCATATTTTATCCATATTCAAAGAGAAATCCATTTTGCAGTGAGAGGCGTAAATGTTTGACTTTGCGTCGGCCCTTGCTTCCCAGAGAGCTGGGATTAAAGGAGCGCTAACAGAATAAAGGGATTCGGGATGCACATTGCCTCAGGCAGATCGCTTCAGTTGCTAAAGAGGAGGAATATTTCCCTCTTTTTGTGGACAAGACAGAATGAACTTCCTCAAAGACGGTGGTATCAGTGACTGCCGCTTACTCCGCTTCAAATAATCTCTAATAATATCACCCCAGAAGCCACAGCAGCAGATTTAGCATTTAGCCGCCCATTCACCCTGCTGCTGTTCTCAGACTTGTGATTGGCTGGGCTGTGCACCACACTGCAGTAGCTCCGGTCCTTTGGCTAAAGGGCATACAGACAAAGAGGCAGAGCCGATTATCTGTGTCTCATCCAAAGGCAGCACACAGCAGACGTCTATTGTAAAGCTTCAATGTGATGTTGGGGCCTTTTCACAGGAGCCACAAAAGACTTGAGATTTTTGAGATTTCACTGATAGTATTGTCACTGTCACTGATATTAAGATATTGCAAAACAGTGTGAAATATCTGTGCAACCAGCCTCCAAAACAAAGCAACTGTTTTGCAGTCACACCTCACTAGGCCTGATAAGGAATGCCTGATGAGGGGGAAAAGACTCAATGTACACTGACTGACAGGAAACACTCTTTCCTCCTCACTTTTAACTGTCGCCTCATCATGCAGGTTGACTTTTGTCTGATTTTAATTGTGGAGTGGATAGTGGATGTGAGCACTGGATCTCTCACGCACACGCACACACACACACACACACACACACACACACAGTGGCTGTTTGAGGTTAACCAAGAAGCCTTCATGTTAAAGTAGCTGAATAAACGTTTCTTTAATGGTTACCCCACCTCTTTTTATGGGGTACAACATGTTTTACAACTAATTAATTATGTGTGAAGTAGCACTTAAAAGCAGGAAATGTAGCGTTCAATTCAAAACTTGCCCAATGACATTGCTTTAATAAAGTACATGTTGTTTAAATAGTGATTTCATTTGGGCTTTTTGTATTAACTTTTTGGTCAGATTGTTGGATATGTTTAAATTACCCATTTTCTTAATAACGTAAGCTGACCCCCTTTTTTTTCTTTTCATTTTATTTTTTATTTTTCATAAAAAGTTGCAGAGGCAATTCATGACAGCTTTAAGTACCAGTGTAATAAAACTGTGGACCTTAATGAAATATATAATGAATTCATCAATGAAAACATTGTTAGTCCAGTGTTTGTGAACTCCAGGCTTTAATAACTATTTGTACATTTCCTATTCATTGCAGGTCACTTTGACCGAGCTTTGAAATCAGTACTCTTTCATTGTTAAAAAAAAAAAAAAAAAAAGGAAATATAATTACAATAATGGTGCCTAGAGTGACTGAGATAACATGGTGTAGCGACAGTGCCATGGCAAAGGGCCACGCTCTCCTTTCGTCACATAAAACGGAAATTATTTCAGCTGGTTTGATCTCCTTCTATTTACATAATATCAGTGTGGTTCACCAGCCTGGGTGGGCACTTATCATTGATACTGCATTGTGTTATATTCTAATAATTAAAGGCAATAGCCGCTTGGTGAGCGCGCTTCATTTGGCATGATTGAATGATTGGCACTCACCAAGCTAATATGGTTTGGGTGAGCACATAGACACAGCGAAGAAAGTAATGATGTCAGTACAACGTCGCAGACTATGCCCATGATAGAGTGACTCATTTCATATTAGCGAGGCCTGATTCCACATGGCTTCCTTCTTGCATAACGCCTCGGCCCACGTCTGTGCCGCCACGCCACTCCAACTGACACCTCTTAACCAAACACAGCAAATGGAATAGACATAAACCCTCACTCCTCATCAGCATTCACTAGGAGACACAGGCATCACCCTGGCCCTGCTCTTCATGTAGAACAACAAAGACACCATTTGTACGCATCTAAAATGGTTGCTTAAAAAGAAATAGGATTGCACATCTGAGCAAGTCGTGCTCTGTGAGCTGTAGTGGTAATTCGGTTAAAGAAGGAGCTGCATTAGTTATTTTAGTTTGTTGCACGTGATGTTGTCTGTCTAGGAATGTAAAGTCATTTAACTGCTAACTCTATTAATGTACTATTCAGTGTCTCTGTAGGCAAAATGGCCCTGATCTTGTTTTTCTTGCATAAAAGTGTAAAATTAAAGTGGATATATTTAATAGTGAAAAAGTAATGACACACATGATCAGCTTGTAAAATATGATCTAATTTATAGACTAAACTATTCAATTGTATAAAAACAAATTAAAATGACTCCATCTTCACCACCTAAGACATGCCAATGGTAAAGTTTTTAAATAATATATAATTCTGCATACTGAACACTTTCACTTTTCATTTGTAAGCACACTTTGCGGATAAGATTGCTGCACTTTCACTTAAAGCCCCTGCAAACCCGGCTTCCAATCTTAAGTATTTCTCTATTAAATATGTATATATGTAACATATCATGACTAAATAAGCATAATCAAAGTTTAATTTGGTTATCATTTATTAAGGGTTATACACTTATACACAGCTGGACTGTATGGGGATTAGATTTGCAGTAAATAAACAACCTACCATCAGATTCTGTAGCTAAATCCTGATTGGTGCACCGAAGGTAACCTATGTGACATCACCTCTTTCTTACTGAACCCCGCCCACTTCAAACCAGGGAGTTTAGCCGAAAAGTGAGTGAGAAAAACAGAAATACAAACTCTGATGTTAAATAACCAAAAGTGTTCTTTCGCAGAACGCAGTGTTAGGAAGCTGTTACTCATAGCAAGTAGTTGATTGAGATAATAGGTTTTCAGGTCCTTATAATTTAGAAAGCTAAACTTTACTTATAAAGTCTTAGTATTTCTGCACCGTGATGAAATAAAAGATCAAATATATGACATAATATACTGTACATATGGAAGCACGGGATACAAAGCCTAGAAGCAATACGAGAAGCTTAAGGCCCATAGCTTCCTCAAAAGTAGAATTGGACAGCTGGTTAGAACAAAAGTACAGAACTTTTACAATCAAGTGAAGAATGAAATTCACAACCCAATAACAGGCACAATGAGGGATTCAGAGACCCATCTGCCTCTGATGAGGGCTCATAGTGAGATGACACTTGTGTAGCACTGGTATGGGGTCTGGTGTGAAGCGCTTCCTACGCAGGACGGGTAAGATCGAGTTCTGTAATATCGGTGGTCCTGCATGCACGCAGGATAACTTTAACCCACCATGACAGCATTAGCTAAATGTCCAAAATGTAAAACTATACTGTCAGTGTAAGCAGGGCTTTCCCTCCACTGTGCTGTGTACAGCATGCAGGACTACCCCAGATCAGCATTGCGTCGTGTTCTCAGAGGACCTGCCCCGCTTCTACCTCTGAAAATAGAACAATAAGGAGGCTTGCTTGAAATAGTTTTGTATCACACCCTGCTATACCTCAGCTTTATATGCCAGGAGGCGCAGGAAGCAGCGGCTGTGTTCAGAGCGCAGCGAAGGTTCAAATGATGGACAGTGCTGACAGGCGTAATGATGTGTAAATTACAAGCGGGTCGACATTGCAATGTTCTCCCTGGTGGTGAAAGAGCAAACTCATTTCATAAACACAATGATCGCTAAAATATTCATAACAAACAAGAAAATGGGGTTAGACTCCCTCCTCCAACCAGACCATTATATCTCCTTTGTGTGGGTTAATTAAGTCAACAAATGACTTATATGATCACTGTGCTACCATAGCGCCTATAGGTTCAGTCCTTTACATGCACTCAGACAAATGAGAGGTTTTGTAAAACAAAGACAGGAATTATAATGACATGCAGTGAAGACAATTTGTATTGAGGCAGATAATGTGCAGGGAGCAATGATAAATTGCTCTAATAAAATACAAACAAAAGCCAGTGAGAGAGATCAGACTAGGGAGGGAGACTTACAGCTCGGAGAGTTGGAGGTGCTGGAAGAGCTGCCATGACAGAGTGGTGAGAGGATTCTTTGACAAGTTTCTGCAGAGGAAAGAAAAACAAAGAGAAAGTTAAATTGAATTATGAATTTATGTCTCTTGCTTGATGTCATGCCTGTTCTGTTTTTGTACCATTCCCTCCCTTTTTTCAGTTTTGATGTCCTTTGGATTCAGAAACCCAATTAGCAAATCTTTCTGTCGGTCATTTTGACTTTTTCTTTTGCTTTTGAGGTGAAATTAGTTTTTCAGTCTCTTTGGGTTTCCTTTTATGTGTACTCATGTATACAGTGTTGTGGTGTGTTTCTGCAAGTAAAATAAACGTAACTAAATAAACTAAAACTAAATCTCAGAAAAATAGAATAAAAAAACAGATTCAACTAAAATAAAATAGAACAGATTCAACTAAAATAAAATAAAGTAAAATAAGCAAGTGGGGTACTACATACAGGCCTGCATTAGTGGCTGAAATAAGGCAAAGTATTATTGACATAGAAAGGGAAACAGGCCTGGCTGTGTGGTGCTGCAGGGCTCAGCCAATTCAATAAAAGAAAGTTGATCGCTTTCAAGTCAAATAATTCAATTGACTTAAGGAACCCCTCTGGCTCAGGAAGCCACTAAATTCAATAACAAATGGCCAGAGACCTACAAGTGATCTGACCAGAACTTTGAATCAGTTTAAATATGAACGTCAGGCATTTGTTGTTATTAAGCGATACAACATCTCTGAGAGAGAATTAACACAGCAGTTTGTCATAAAGCACACTATCAAATCCTATTATCAGGGCATACAGCATCGATTACATAATGAGAGAAAAATATAAGAGTAACATTCGATCTGTTTCTTTTCTTTGATGTGGATCTGGATCTCGCTAAATGACTCACACTGCTTTTCACATTATTATGGCCCGATATCACAGCTCATTGTCTTTAAGGGAAACAATTCATCAAGCTACTAACTGCATGCAGGATATGGCATATAGCAATAAATGTGAAAAAATGTAAGTAAAAAATGAAATAAGTATTTGGGAGATGTAGAACTAAGGTGAGGTAAAAAAAAATTAACATACACATGAATATTATAAACTGTATGAATGTATGATAAATAAAAACAATATTAAAATGCCATTATGTCATCATTTCAAGCATTTCCATGTAAGTACTTGACTTGAATTAATTATCACACACACACGCACACACACACACACACACACACACACACACACACACACACACTATGGTGGGTTAATTTGTATGTAAGACCTATTACATACTCCTGTAACCAGAAGTGTCGCTATGGCAACAGCGAGCTACGGCTGTTGCAGGTCTTTCTTATTTCCTGTGATATCACACATGCACACATGCAATTACAAGTGCACATGCAAACAGACACACACACACACACACACACACACACACACACACACACGGACACACCTACACACACACACCATCACAAATAGGTATAACCCACAGATGAAGTCACTCACAAACTGGTTAAATACTGTCATCTTCAAATGTGTGCTTTTGCGAATGCACCACTGCTCTGAATACAGGGGATGTGTGTGAGAATATGTAAAGATGCTGCATGAAATTTCACCTCCCAAAGAAAACCTGTGGTCCCAAAGGGACTATATTATACGCTGAAAGAATACATTACAGGGAGAGAGAGAGAGAGAGAGAGAGACAGAGAGAGAGGGGAAAGGTGGGCGAGCAAACAGCAGCTCGTTAGGTGATGTAGAGCAGGGCCGCTCAACACTTACGTCAAATCACACTACCCAAAAATAGACATACATTTATACCTCAGATCTCCAAATAGACACACGTCAAATGACAGGCCCTAAAATAGAGACACGTCAGACCAAAGATCTCTAAATATGCAAAGATTGGACCACAGAATTCCAAACAGACCCGCAGAGGCACAAATCAGACCACAGACCCTCATTTGTTGTTGATTTTAAATATTTTTTATTATAAAATAGTATGTTTCATAATTGCACAGAAGCCTTCAAAATGGATCATTTCTGGTGAGTGAAACAACTATGCCCTTCCTTATTTTGTGACAGAGACCCCAGGAACCACCTTCAGGACTCCGGATAAACCTCAAGGAGCCCTGAAGGTCTCTGCACAAAGAACCAACAGCAGGAGCCCAAACAGCAGGTAAGCAATCCTACGCCTTCAATAGCAATGATTATAACACAAAAGCTAGATGAAAGGACCAGTGTGTAGGATTTAGTACTTTAGCATCTAGTGGTGTAATTGCAGATTGCAATGCCCTCGCTTCACCCCCTCCCCTTTCCAAGCGTGCAGGAAAAACCATGGTGGTCATGAAACACGTCTATCTGCTGTATATAGAATTTTTTGCTTGGTTTGTCCGTTCTGGGCTTAAACACGACGGACTCCACAGAAGGCATCGTCTGTAGATAAAAACGGCTCAAAAAACACTAACAAAATAATAACAATCCCTTTACTCAGCTGATTACACCCTAATAAAAACATACCTGACAATAGATCGACCCAAATGTTACACACTGGACCTTGTTGCTGAACATTTACTGTACATATGTAGGAGTTATTTTTGATTTTATGTTCATTTGATTGTGTTCAATTGTTCAGAGTTTTGTAAAACAGAACTTCAAGTTTATGACATGATTTAATCTGTGATGAATCTGATTGTTTTCTATTTGCTATACAGCTAGCTAGAGTCTGCATTGAACAAACAACAAAGAAAACTAAAAATACTGTTGAACTTATGTTAACTACCATATAGTCTGATGCTTTGTTAGACATGCTTCTTGCTGAGAGCTGAATGAGAAGATTGATGCCACTGTCAGCTGAGAGTGGTTTCAATCTTCTCATCTGACTCTCAGCAAGAAATCTAATAAGCCTATTTCCAAAAATGTCAAACTATTTGTTGAACTTCACAACTTTTTTAATGTTCCCTTCCCCCTTTATATGCTTTAGATTCAGATGTTATTATGCCATTTGCTCATGAAATACTTTATTAATAATAATAATAATAATAATAATTTCAAATATAAATGTGGCTAATAAAATAAATGTCCCTAACCACTTGTAAAAGCAATCTTTTCTACTTGGAAAAAAGTCATAAAAGTATTAATACACATACGTGGAGAGGAGAGTAAAGGAGTGTTTTATGAGCAGAGAGTGAGACCTCCTTCACATCTCTGGCAGGAAGTGTTCTGTTTTCAAAGGTCATCCTTCGCATCTCGACAAGAAATGTCAGCTAAAATTGGATTGAGGGGGGTAAATGAATTAATAAATATATAAACAAATCAGCAAATAAGCCATCAAAGACGACGGAATGCCAAAAGACAGGAGGTGAGGAAGGCCAAGCGCTGTAGAGAGGGGGGCCAATGATTATTAAATTAAAAAATTAGCGGTGTAGAAAATTAATCTATTTATAAGCTAAGGCAACTCTGTTTTCAGGCCTGGAAGGACGTATATACCCCCCACCCAACAAACACACCCACATATACACACACACACACACACACACACACACACACACACACAGACATCCACCACTTTGACTAAAACAGACACAGCATCCACACAACTGCACTGAGCCACAAATCATCTCCGCTCCTCAGACAGTGCTCATTTGAATAAGGAATTATAATTATGTGATTCACATTAAATTTTCATTAGGTTGGGGTAAAAAATATGCGTTAGAGTGGCGGATGTATCTAGGTGTTAATATTGATGACAGCGTCGGCTCCCCAGCCAGAGGGCGACGAAGTGAATGCTAAACTGAACCTGGGTGTTTGCTCCTCTGCAGAGGAGGTGCAACTCCTCCTCCCTCCTTCTTTAATAATTCTGTTTGGCACAGATGCCATTGGGAGGGCCTGGCTACTCGAGAGGGTTGGCTAATTAGTGCAGCATCACTGGTAGCTACTGTCTGAGTGTGGGGGAGCTCTGCAGATTGACATTCAGGACCACGCGGAGGAGAACCAGACAGCCACTGAGCGAGGTGTCGCAGCGGATCAGCGGCACGGACGTTGAGAAATCTAGACGTCATCTGTCATGCCCGAGGAGAAGCTGTTAATATCTGCTGCAGCAACATAAACTAATTGCTTCCTTCTTTCCTGTTCACGTTTACAGCATTTTGTTACTCATAAAGAGATTTTCTTCGTCCTGAAATGTCTCTGAGTCTTTTATGTTATGAGTAACTCTGATGGCTGAAAAAACTTTAAAAATATGATGTCCAACGTTAAATATCATGGGTGTCAATCTTACAGGAAAGTTGTTTTTCTTCAGCCTGAAAAGTTGACATTTGAGAGAAGGGAGGTTTGTCTTTTACAATAGTAATGCGCAGTTTATGAAATAATGTTACAATAATCATATGATATATTGATCTACATATACATAAATTACATATACAAATACAAGCTGATATTATGAAAATACACTGACTGAGGCAACACAGCAGTGATTCAGCCTGCAGTCAAGTTCTCACTCAAGCTTTTGTTCATCCAAACACCCAGAACAAAGACACAGCCTCTTTACCTGGAAACGTTCTCTTCAAGAAGGCAGAGTGAACATTAGCATTCAGTGTCAAAGATGCCACGTATTATTCCGCACTTTCTGTATTTATTATGTTGATCCAGTGCCTGGAACATCAAAGCCACTACCGCTTATCACCAAAGGTATTCCCAAAATAAACCCTTCCCCTCATTTGCAGAAGTTGAACTTCATACAACCCCGAGACTGTCCTATAGCTGGAAGGTCACAGATAAAAATGTGAAAAATACAGGTATAAGCTACTAATAAGACGAGTCGTCTTCGCCACTCCAGCCTTCTGCATGTGTCTGCCTGATAATGCTCAGAACTTATTTCATGCTTTTCATCCCATCCAGTGTAACTATGCATCTCATGGTCCATCGCTCCAATGCACCATCCCCTCTACGGCTGAAACCTACTGCACATATCCTGCCTGAATGCACATCGTGACAGAGTACTGAATGTATGTTGATGTTCAACTATGACCACCTTAACCTTTGGTGCATGTCATTCCCATTCTGT